TTGGAACTGCTAACATACATATCAAAAGGAGATAGTTGTTAGGATTGGGCAAGGATAATGGGTAAATATGGCAATTCATCTGGGAGAAATAAAAAAGACAATAAATCAGTCAGTCAAAGGGGCTGTAGAGAAGAATGGGAACAGTTTTATATAATGTTTGTCTAGCTGATAGCATCATTTACTATATAAATAACCATCTATGTGAACATTTTAGTGCTTTTCACACACATTTTCCATGGCTGGCAAGAGTGTTTGTTTATGTATCTATAAACCATTCTGCAAATACAGCTCTCAAGCTGCCCGTATGTCAGAATTATAAATGCACCCTATTACAAGTTTATTTGTAAAATTATCCATATGAACATAAAGTTATGTGTTTAGCTTTGTTGCTTATTTTTTGACAGTTATATATATGTTTTCCTCATTTTCTTTCCTCAGTACTGTTTCAATTTTCATGGTTTTATTTTTAGGCATAGGGAATTGCCAGCGTGTCATCTAGTGCACTCTACTGGCCAAATACAACTTCACGAAGTCTGAAGTTCTTGCTGTCTTAAGTAGGTTGAAATACCTCATATTCCTTTCCTGTTAGAAAATGCTGCTTTCTGTAAATTAATGCAGGTTTAGAGGGGGGATTTGAACCAGGCTCTTTATGATTCAGTAACAGCATTATCAACAAGGCCATGGGTTGTTCAGGATACTCCTCTTTCTCTCTCCTTTCTTTGTAAACCCCTCTCTCCAAGTTTCCGTTTCTTCCTCTCTTTTTCAGTTTCTCTAGCTATTGTAAATTCCTCACTTTCCCACTTCACCTCCCCAAATGTAAAAGAGTTTCTTTTTCTTGGTCTTGGTTTATTTCTTATATCAGAATACACATTTGGTAGCCTTGTTTGATTTTTTTAAAGTGCCTAGTTTGCTTATGATGATAAGACCTCCCTTAAAAATGGATTTCACTAGGCCAAAATGGCTTAAAAATTTCAAGCCTATTTTTAGGAAGAAACTATTAAGTTATCATAAAAAAAAAAAATCTTAATTGTAGGTTTCTTTTAAGATTTAAAACAAATAAATAAGTTGTTGAAATCCAAGCCTAAGGGTTCAGGATCTTTGAGCCTAAGGTTTTTTTGTTGGTCTTAAGAAAAAAATAATTCTCACGTTCCATTACTATAAATGTGCATAGCTTGAGAAATCTCTTAATTGGAGGCACTTGGTGGCACTTTAATATAAACCAACTATTTTGAATGGCAAATATCCAACGCTGCTGAACTGAGATTAGTGTGTTAGTTATGTGCTTTCCAGTTAGTTCATTTGCATTTAATGTTACAGCTTTCCCATAAAGATTGAAGGGACACCAGAATCCTGCTTTTTAGGGCTGCCTAAGTGTAGGACCAGAGCTTTTGCAGGTATGGGGCTATTCTGTCAATGCCACAGCTGTAGTCTGATGCTAAAAGAAACATAAGTGACTCCAAACAGCTTTCCTATTAAAGGTGGATGATACTTTAGTTTTTGCAGAGTTAGTATTGGTCCTTGCATTTCACTGGCACTGCTGCCTGTTGTTAGCGTAGCGTGGTGGGAAATGGAATGGGGACGGCAAGATGTGGAAATAACAGATGACTCCCTCGGATATGGCGATGTTTGGTTGGATTTTTGCCCCCATTCCTGAAGGCTTGTTGGTTGCTTCTTGACAACCTAATGTACTTCACATCATGATTGGATTTTTTGGGCATTTGAGAGATACATATCAGGAAAACCACAGGAGCAAATCTTTGCAAGAGTGTTATCCTTTGAACCTGAAGGAATATTTTTGAATGTTGTTGTAAATAAGTAAAGAAAATCATGTACTAAAAGGATCCATAACAAACATTTTAAAAAAACAGTCTTATTTTGAGTTTTTGTTGATGCTGTATGAAGTAGTCAGATTGACTTCACATCTTGTTGGAGGTACCATGTTAAAGATTCTGCCCTCAAAATAATCTTCATGGTAGAATGAGTATGAATAGTCAAGGTGTAGTGATACTTCCTAGGCTAATATTTTGGTATCTGCCTTGGTAAAGACAGATACTTCTACTTCTTTTTTGCATCTCAGAAAGATATGGTGATGCTTCCAAGGGGAATTAGGGGTCCTTGATTTGATCTTTCTGCTCAATTTTAGTTTGGTTAATTACTTCAATTTCATTTAATAAAATCCCTTATTCTTTGTTTCCTGTCCTAACATACAATGCAGAGTTCACATAAAACTGTATAAACAGTTGTGTTTCATATTACAAGTAGATGAGCTTTTGAAGCCCTTAAGGTGGAAACTGTTATACATGTATAAAATGATATCATCTGCTTACTAAAACTTTAAACAGAAAAATAATATCAATAATTAATAAAAATAATAGCAAATGTTTATAATTAGCATTTTCCACTGTGATACTTCTCTTTAAAGGGATAAATGTTATCAGAGTGGGGATGCTCTGAAAATAGAGAAATGATTGTTTTCACTGGTCCAACTTGGGAGTGGCTTTTCTGATTAATAACATAAGCTAATGATCTCAATCTGGTTTTGGCCCATGAGCAACAACACTGAATGATGATATTACTATAGCTGAGATCACAGCCTCATCTTTAACGTTTTCATACCCCAGGACTTCTACCAATGTTCACAAGTTTGATGGGTAGTGTGTTGCTTGTTCTCCAGGGCTGGAGATCAACTTACAAGCAACTTCTTTCGTTGTTCTTGCTCTACGTTGGGTATAAGAAGGAAAAGTGAATATACAATGTCTTAAATTTGCTTTCAATGTTTGCCAGGATGTAACTGGAAAATATTTCTAAATTAAAAAAGGGAAAATGTCTAGTTTTGGTAGAAAATTGGCACCTTAAAAAAACCCAACCCAATACATGTGGGCAAAGCACAGAACAAGTGGCCACTTCCACACAAACCGGTTTTAGAGATTATGCTGGTAATTACAACATTAATCTTTTCTGATGCCATAGTTAAGCAGTGTTATTTGATGCTCTCCCCTTATGCGTGCTAGAGAGCTGACCCAAACAGAACAGAATGGAGCTGCTTAAAATGGTAAACGTAGCTACCTATCCAGTGCCAGAGTAACTCCTTAATCCTGGATGGCTTCAACAGGCTTTCGAATCTCTCCAGCTTCTTTGTTAATATTGACTCCTCTAGCATTTTAACTTTTGTTTGCAGGTTTGAGCAGTCTGAGAGGTAACCCCCTCTGGGCTGGTAATGGTTGAGTGGAAGCTGTGGTCAGTGTCAAAGCAGCAAAGGAGAGCCCTGGGGAGCTGTGTGAGTGTGCAGGGGTGAAGATGAGGTAAGGGAGGAAAGGTTAAACAATGAAGAGTGATGAGGCTTAAGACAGAAAAGCTACATTTGATGCACTGCAGAAGTATACTGTCTTTTGATCTTACTGGTATTTTCAGTGAGACTTTTTTTCCTGCTTCTTGCCAATCATTTTTTCTGGAAAACGTGGTGTTCAGTAAACCTGAAAATATCCACTGCTCTTTGGAATGTCAAGTTCATTTAGTTGCAATGCAGAAATTTCATAATAGTTTCAGATAACAAACAACAATTTCCTCATTGTCTCACCTGAAGGTGATGCAGATGCTTGAAACCTCTGTGCCTACTGTATGTGTCAGAAGCTCTAAACATTTAATCTTGATTTCTCTTCAGTACCACCTACTTCCTGGAAAATTTGGAAGCCTTGCATTTACCACTTCAAATTCTCTGCCAAGTTCTTTTCAATTTTTTTTTCTCCATTTTTGTCTCACACGTTTATTATATGGTGACAAATGCAATTTTTTTCTGACACCACATAATAGATGTGTGAAACACACACACACGTTCTAGTAAGAGACTGCTCTTTATTTCCTGGCTCCAGTTGCAAAACATGAGTCAGGGTTAGAAAGGTTGTACCTCTGTCAGAGATGTGTACTCTGCATCCTCCAACTTCCCTAGCTTTTGCTACAGTAGTGGGGAAAACTGGCAAATCCGGTTCTTTTATTTCTGTATTCAGTGCTTCCTCCTCCCCAAACACATCTTTTCTTCATCTTATAATCACCATTCCCTTGTATTGATTATATTTACTCACTTCAGAGATTGACGCTGTCATTAACAGGAAAAAAATTAAATCCTTCCAGCTCCTAAAACAAATATACCAGCACTCTGACCACGGGAGGTACAGCAGTTTTAAAGAAATCATCCTCCTGCTGTTCTGGTTTTAATGCAAAGAAGAAACATGACTAGTCCATTTGCTGTGAATTCCAAGCACTATTTTCTCCATGTCAAGTGATATCTGATGTTCTGCTGTATAATTGTAGGTAATGACCAAACAGCCTCTTAACAAGGCTCTGGTGACATAACATGCCTTATTTATATATACCAGCTTTAAGTGTTCTGTACACTTCTGCAGTGTGTAGGGGGCCTCAGTGCAATACAGAATCAGACAGATCTTTTGTGAACTTAAGCAGAACAAGCCCCACATTACACGTTAAAACAAAACCAAGTAAACAAGCAAGCAAAAAGAGAAAATTGAACACATTATCACTTCCTACTGGATCCAAACAGGCTAGGAATTTCATGGATGAGGCAATTTTCTGTGGTTATCCATGTGTGACTGGAAGCAGAAGGAACTATGGTGCTTCCATGTTAATCATAAGCAAAGTTTTGTATTGATTTTTTTTTCTAAATCATTTTATCCCACATAGTCCTAGTGGTTGAGTTGCTCCTGTAACAGAATGACAAATAACTGGGTAACATGCTGTGAAAAATTTAGAAAATGAGAAATGCTATCCCGTTTTCCAAACAGAGCAGAAAAAACACTAATTCCAGTAGGCAAGATGGAACAGACAATTAAACTGGACATGCTTTTAATTTTGAAGCTAACCAGATAACTGATGCCTTTTTCAAATATAATGAATATTGAAGTGATTCCTTTAACATGAAGCAAACCCACTGGTTTTCCTTTCTAAAATTAAAGCATTTACCTTATACAAAGTATAAGAAATGTTACCTGTTGCCTCCACCATTCCTTCTAGGATTACAACAATTTCTAGCTCCTCTTTGGGCAACTGGGCTTTGGAAATCTCCCAGAAAGGACTCTGCTGGTTAATTTCATGGCTGATGATCAGTGGTGAAACCAAAAAGAGACGATCATCCCCTGTGTAATAACCTACGTTGATATCTGTCTGGTTGAGTGGTATAAATTCCCCCTCCTTTGTCTGTTTGGATTTGATCAACTTGGCTCGTATTGATGCCTCTACAATGTGTGAATTCCTAAGGTCTCCTACTCGGAACATGAGACACAGCTTTCCATCCCGCATAGAAATAACTGCATTTGTAGAAAAAACCAAGGTTTCTGCCCTCTTCTTGGGTTGGGATATTTTCACAAACATGCAGCCAACCATGAAAGCGTTGACGATAGAACCTAAAACAGACTGCACTAAAAGCAGAATAATTCCCTCGGGACACTTGTCCGTGATGACCCGGTAACCATACCCAATGGTCGTTTCTGTCTCGATTGAGAATAAAAAGGCTGAGACAAACCCATTGAGGTTGCTGACGCATGGGGTCCACGTGCTGTCCCCTATATGATCCATGTCTCCTCGCATGTAGGCAATTAGCCACCAGATCATTCCAAAGAAGAGCCAGGTCACAGTGTAAACCATGACAAAAATCAACAGGTTGAACCTCCACTTGAGATCGACTAAGGTAGTGAAGATGTCAGTCAAGTAACGGTAAGTCTCTCTGACATTCCCATGGTGGACGTTGCATTTCCCATCTTTCCTAACATACCTCTGGATTTTTCTCTTGGCACATTCTTTGCTTATATTTTTTGGCAGATCCTCTCTAGCTTGTTTGGGCAACTTTGGCTGATGAATAGTGACAGGGCTCTCTATGTCCTGCTCCATTGAGTCTTCTTCCAGTACGTTAGCTGCCATTAAAAACAAACAAACAAGAAAAAGGCAGGCATTATTTTTCTTATTATTTCTCTAAGTCAACACACAACTTCTTCCTGTATTACTGGCATGAAATTGCTATTATCATTATTATCGTTGTTCTTTGCTTACTTATGAAACATACAACAGAAAAGTCAAACGATGCCAAGCATCCTCAATTTATTGCTAAATAAAATACTTTGAAGGAAAACTCTCTTATTTCCTCTCTATCAAGTTATCCTATCTACACCCATTCTTAAATTCTGCAAGATGTGTTCAAGCAGATCTTTCTTTCCCCCACCCTCCTTTACAGTTTAACAAATGAGGTTTCTTATGCACCAAGAAAGATCTTCTGGGAGATAGCAGATATAAATGAGGAAATGGATTTGCTTGGGGGTTTCAGTCAACAAGATGAACAGAGAAAGAAATTGTTGAGCTATTTTTTTCTATCAATTGCATTGCTATGGGGAAAGTATTAAATAAGTATAAGGATTTAAAAAAAAACCTCAACATTTTTTAGAAAGAACCAATCCTACTCTTGTTGAAGGAAAGTCAGGCTTTAGCATAATATATACCAAGAGCAATTCAAGCACATTTCCATGGAAAATCATTGTCTTGCTGATATTGAGACAGGGAATTGTGTGTCCTTCTCCCAGTAGCATAAAACATACTGTACTTCAATTCAGTATACCTGTGGACTTGAATTCAAGTGTGCATTTTTCTCTAATTGTGTGGGCCTACACAACATCAGCCCATAAGTGTCTTACAATAATTTAAAAACCCGAAATGACAGTAACTGCTTTTTTTTTTTTTTCTTTAGCTTCCCAGTCTTTTGAGATAAATATGTTTATATGCAAGAAAAAAAGAGTTTACTGAGAAAGAGATAGTTTAGTCGAATGGGTTTTGCATGAAGCTGAGGACTTAGAGAGGTCTGGGTAGCTGTTGTCTTTTTGCTGGAAATACTTCTGCATTCTGGGGCTTGTTCCTGTGGGAATTTCAGCCCTTGAACTCCTAATTTTCTCTATTCTGGTTAACTGCTGTCATTCTGCTGCCAGGCTGTGAAGGGAAAAGACTTCTGCTGGCTCTGCCTAGATGCTTGGCTCTGAATATCGCAGCAGTGATGTGAGGTTGTACCATCAGTTTATAGAGATGTTTTTCCTGAACAGGGTGTGTTGTCGGTGCACCCTGCAACGGCCACAGTTTACATTAATGTACTGTGGTAACTTCTGTGCAGGCTCAGTTGTGGGCTGTCCAGTCCTGCTGAGGGTGGCAACCTTCAAGCAGAGAGCTGCAAGCAATCAGCTTGGGTTGGGAAGCACTTTATTTCCCTGAGCTCCAGTTTCTTCTGAGCACCTCTCGCCTGGCTGGGAAATGGGGGCACAAACCCACTAAAGCTTCTGCTTGACAGAGCAGTCCTGTCTCTGGTGCCCCACGGGTTTGGGTGTCTGCCTGGCACTGACCTGGGCAGTAGATCCAAACCTTTTTGCATGGAGGAGCTACCAGGGAAGCCTGGGCTCTTGTCCAGAGGCAGAGTTGCACAAGGGGCTGCTCTTGGTGGGTCAGTATGGCACAAAGAGTGTTTTAGCCTCTCTTAGCAACATGTGCTACATAGCAGATGGTCTGTCGAGTCTCACAGCACCTGTAGCTTTTTCAGAATGTACAGACTCATCCCTGTGAAGAAAGATCACAGACCTTTGTAAAGTTCTAGAGGTGACTGAAATACCCAGGGGGGAAAAAAAAAGAAAAAGGTTTGTAGACTGGATTTCTCTCCTTCTGGCCTGCTTGCCTGCCAGCCAAGCCTCTGTTCAGCCCCATAGCCCTTTCTGTGTTAAAAGAAAGGCTCAAAGGCTGACTGTAGCACGGAAACCTGATAGCAGCTATGCCTTTAAAGACTCTGCACTCCATCCTGTGTCACTTTTTTAGTTTGATGTCGTGTTTAAAGAGAGCATTATTCAGGCTGATGGTAGTGACAGCACTGGAAGTTGTGTCACAAGGCAGTCAGTTCTGAATGAACTCACCCCAGTTGGTGACAGTGTGCCTACTTGCATTATCACTAATGCTATATAATGTATGACGAAATAAACACAATAAGCAGGCATTGAAGGAGCTTTGTGAGGCAGACTTAAGCCAAAGCCAGAAAATTTGAAGTTAAGGCATCACACTTTATGCTTAGCTCTCTACTGTGCCTAAGGAAATTCCAGTCCACAGGAGCTATCACATCACTGCAGTAATGGACCCCTGAAATACTTATGAACAGCCTATGAAGTATTTGTGTTTTGAGGCTTTAATGCATTATATGTTAGGCTAGTAATGCTAATTTAATGTTGTTCATTATCTTTAAGGCATGATGAATATTTTGCTTTCCCCTCCCAGTTAGAGCCTGGCATGAACACAGAGTCAGGGTACAGGTGTCCCCTGTTGCCTCTGAGAATATGTCTTACTTCTGACCTTGCTATTGAAGGCAACCATGTCCTAGATCCCCCTGCCTGAGCATCTTTTACCAGAAACAGCAAAATGTACTAAAAACCATAGCAGGGCTGGGAGGGGGAGTTTTATTCATGGCATTGTTAGTTTTATTCATGGCATCAGCAGAAATCTGAAGGGGTGTCCCCATCCAAGGATGCCTACCAGGCATACACGCTGCACTCATCTAGCTTGCTTTGTACATGGTGTTTATTTCCTATAGAAGTACTTGCTAGCAATGAAGCACCTTTTATTCATGTAACAAATTTTAGTTATGCTTTCAAAATGCTTTGTTCTGATTAAGCCCTTATGCATCATAACCAGCCTTTCCTGTCTTTTACAGTGCACGAGCTGACTCACAAAGAGAGGTAAGGGCCACATCTTCTCAAGTGGCCATAGGTTTTGTAGCAGGAGCAAGGAGCAACCATTGCTCCCTTGCACTTGGTGGTGGGCTGTCACTGTAGGTGGGCTTCAAAGACCTGCCCCTTCCAAAGTGAGAGAATTTTTTTTAACCTTGAGAGGTTAGTATCTTGAGAGGTAGACCATCTTGCTAACACTCTTGCAGACATTTTGATCTCCCTGGGGGCATCTGGCCATTTTGTAAACTCTTCAGGCTCTTTCCAGTGCTGTCATTCTTCAACTCTCAGGCAGACTCTGAGAGGAAAAATTAAGGTCAAGTGTTTATGCAAGATGCCTTTTTACTCTTTCTCTCACCCAAGTTCTCCTAATGTGAGACCCAATGAATATCTATATGGGGAGGGTTTTAGATCAGAATCACAGCCCATCACCCTTTCCTGGTCTGAGTTCTCACTCCAGAGTGAACCTTGGGAGCAGCAATTCCTGAAAGAAGTGATCCAAGGATTGTGCATCTGTGTGTTTCCATGGAAATGCTTGATGAATAAGTTTTAAACACATGGCAGGATCCCTGTTCACCACTAAGGCTGAGGAACAGCCACATATTGTCAGCGCCTTTGCCACAAAACACTTTGACTAATTATATTTTTACTTGATATCAACCCAATTAGCTTATGCTGTTTATTTCATTTAATTTTCCTTTTGGTTATATAATGGCTGTCATGGTTCCAAGAACAGAGGAGTGAATAGCAGCTATCTCACTTGAGAGCTATTTTTACTCTCTCCGCTTTTCTTCATGACAAAAATATATACATATTATTAATCTGCACTGCAAAAAAAATTATATACTTCTGAATGCTTCTCCCTCTCCCAGTAAACAATATGTTTGTTTGAACACAATGTCCAGGTAGCAATACCATGCCAATTTAGGCCAATTTAGAACATTCTGTTCAAAGCATTTTTTTCAGTGAGTTCCTTAGGCAAATGCATACAACATGTATGTAAATTAAATGTGCCCAGGTCTATTCTTTAGCATGGAGGCTAAATGGAGTGGTACAGCCCACGCTTGTATTATTGAACTCCTGTTGTTTTCAAAGCAGGGTCGTCTCATACAATCTGCTTATTAGGAATAGCCTATGTCCCATGCTAACACCTGAAATGTAGCCACAAATTGTGTGTACTCAGCTCTCCACCGGTCAAAATCATGCCAGAGGCTTTTCTAGGAATTTTACCATAAAGGCAGGTGGGTGCTAGTGCTCAGGAACATTTTATTTTCTAGTAAAGATGCAACCAATGTTGGTGCCCTGGTCTTGTCTATTCCAGAACAGCACTGGAAAGGCCCAATCCAGTGCTTCCAAGACCGTATTTTTGTTCAGAGTTTGTAACACAAATCCAGTGTCAACAACCAACTATAAGCTGTACAGGAGATGCTCTCATGACCTTCATGGCTGTTAACATATTATTATAATCCCTAAGCAATTGTTTTATCATTAGTGATGTGATTTTTTTGTACTTTGGTGGTACTCCAGAAATCTTGTCATGGTACCATATAAATACAAAGCAAAAGGAGGTATGTAAAGGGCATACTTGTCTAATTTAAATACTTGTAGTCTATTTTGATTGCATAATGTACTAGAGTTGTAGGATGACCTGCAAAATAATTAGGAATTTCGGCAAAGAATATAACAAATTATAACTGATATTATTGTAACAGAAGCTGATCTAGTGAGTTCAATGAGTGTTTCACTTTAATTCAGTAGACTAATTTTATCTCTGGTAACATAGTTGTGAATGGTTTGTATGCAATTTTATTGAAAATTCACTAATTTCAGAAAGTCATTTGTAATCTACAAATTGTTCTCATGGGCTTTATTGCACATATACAAATGTCAAGCAGACACTGTTTTGACTGTGATTTCTGCCTGCATGCAGGTCATTCCCCATGTCTGCATGCAGGTTATTTCCCACCTTCCCAGTAGGATGAAGGCAACTTTTAAGTTACGTAGGTGTTTGCATTTGTAAGGTCCAAGCTTGCCTTTTGTGAGTATTTTTCAGCGTTCATCTCTCATTTGCTGTGATCACAAGCCTCCCTGATACTGAACTCATCTGTGGAATATTTGGCAGTACCAGGCGGCTATTTCTGTTCACCTCTGCCTCTGCAAGGTTGTTAGGCTTTGAC